TTAACTTTAGCGTGGATATTATGAATAGTCTCGACGTGTGGGGGAGGTGCGAGCAAATTGAAAACCGACAGATATGCTAACCTGTGAAAATGTGTTACTTTTTCCAGCTAGGATTCCGGCGGGCCCACCGCGACGCGTTGTCCCCGAAGCAGGGGTCGCGGCGAACACGCGTGGAACATTTGTCAGACACTTTAGCACCTGTCGGCCCATTGTTTTCCCATCGATTCTGGCTCGGAAAGCACGGCTTTAACCGATGTTTTACACGTTCGATTCCTGGAACCGGATCCTCTCCATCTGGGATCCCAGGCTTGCGACATCCGAGTTGCACGTACGTCGAGAAGCGAAAGAAAGAGACACGCACGTTGCAACGGCCAGAGCGAGAACCAGCCGAGCGAGCGGGACGGAGAGGACGGTGCAAGAAAACGAGGAGAGAGAGAGAGAGAGACAGAAAGGGAGAGAGACAGAAAAAGAGAAAGAGAGTGAAAGAGAGAGCGAGCGAGAGAGAGAAAAAGAGAGAAAAGAGAGAGAGAGACAGAGCGAGCGAGAGAGAGAAAAAGAGAGAAAAGAGAGAGAGAGACAGAGCGAGCGAGAGAGAAAGAAAGAGAGAAAAGAGAGAGAGGAAAGAGCGAGCGAGAGGGAACGAGCGGGGCCCAGGTATACATTGGCCCGGGACTACGGAACCCATTTCGCCTGTCAGGCCCAATTCCGCTCGGGTCCAGGAACCTTGGGCTTTCTCTGTTCCTCGCGCCCTTCTGTTGCTGCAGTTTATGGCCGTCATTACCTCGATCGGGCACCGACTTCGATTAAACGATTTGTTCGTGTGCACGGTCCACTTTACTCGCTCCTCGTTTCATTTCGGATTGTCGATAATTTTTCTCCTCCTCCCCCCTCCCCTCCGGCCCGTTTTTTCTTCTTGTTCGGTCATTGCGATCGGCCCACAAGATTGATTCTTCCTCTTTAATTTAAAAAGAAGGAGAAGGGGCTGCGATTTTTTCCCGCAATGTTACAGCACATTCAAGTAACCCCCCAAAAACAACCCTATAATTTCTGTCAGCGGTGCATCTATTACGTCAAATATGTTGCTTTTTCTGTTCGCAGTTTCCCGCTTGGACAAACGCGTTATCCCGCCGGCTGAAAAGTTCAAAATTTCCTGTACGATCCGCCATCGCGGTTTCCCGGCGCGGCGCGCAGCCGCGTATTCCATCGGCTTGGCTAATAATCGCGGAAAAAGTGGCCGTTCGCCCGGCTTCCTTTCGCGCGGTCCGAGGCCGTGAATCAATAGACCCGAGGGATCAATTTCGCAGGGGGGCGCGAAAAAGCGACGAGCAAGAGGCGCCAATGGGAATCCGCTTTGGAACGCGGCTCCCTAATGCAGGAAGCATCAAGGGAAATTGCAGAGGTCGCCGCGCAGCGCAGCGCCGCGCCGCGATTTCCACGCGGCGAGCATTCGTCTATCGATCTTCGTGCCTCGAGTTCTCGCCTCTAATCATATCGTTGCTAACGTCTTCCTCGATGTTGCTCACCGTACCGTCAACGACGATCCAACCGGTGACTCGGATCACCCGGTGCTCCCTGAAACGCGATCGTTTCACCANAGAAAGAGAGAAAAGAGAGAGAGGAAAGAGCGAGCGAGAGGGAACGAGCGGGGCCCAGGTATACATTGGCCCGGGACTACGGAACCCATTTCGCCTGTCAGGCCCAATTCCGCTCGGGTCCAGGAACCTTGGGCTTTCTCTGTTCCTCGCGCCCTTCTGTTGCTGCAGTTTATGGCCGTCATTACCTCGATCGGGCACCGACTTCGATTAAACGATTTGTTCGTGTGCACGGTCCACTTTACTCGCTCCTCGTTTCATTTCGGATTGTCGATAATTTTTCTCCTCCTCCCCCCTCCCCTCCGGCCCGTTTTTTCTTCTTGTTCGGTCATTGCGATCGGCCCACAAGATTGATTCTTCCTCTTTAATTTAAAAAGAAGGAGAAGGGGCTGCGATTTTTTCCCGCAATGTTACAGCACATTCAAGTAACCCCCCAAAAACAACCCTATAATTTCTGTCAGCGGTGCATCTATTACGTCAAATATGTTGCTTTTTCTGTTCGCAGTTTCCCGCTTGGACAAACGCGTTATCCCGCCGGCTGAAAAGTTCAAAATTTCCTGTACGATCCGCCATCGCGGTTTCCCGGCGCGGCGCGCAGCCGCGTATTCCATCGGCTTGGCTAATAATCGCGGAAAAAGTGGCCGTTCGCCCGGCTTCCTTTCGCGCGGTCCGAGGCCGTGAATCAATAGACCCGAGGGATCAATTTCGCAGGGGGGCGCGAAAAAGCGACGAGCAAGAGGCGCCAATGGGAATCCGCTTTGGAACGCGGCTCCCTAATGCAGGAAGCATCAAGGGAAATTGCAGAGGTCGCCGCGCAGCGCAGCGCCGCGCCGCGATTTCCACGCGGCGAGCATTCGTCTATCGATCTTCGTGCCTCGAGTTCTCGCCTCTAATCATATCGTTGCTAACGTCTTCCTCGATGTTGCTCACCGTACCGTCAACGACGATCCAACCGGTGACTCGGATCACCCGGTGCTCCCTGAAACGCGATCGTTTCACCAGCGGAAACCTCGAATCCAGCTTGCTCGCGACTTAAACGCGTTACCAGCCCGGCTAACACCGATTCCCGCGTACTACCGCCGCGCGATACTCCATGATCTATGATCTGCGTTGATGATGGATCTGCGCCGCAGCTTCCGGTAGGTATCGTGGCTCGAGAACTTGTTACGTTCGGCTGAGAATGATCGCCTGTGGACGACCATCCTCGTCGTGTAATCGTTGGATCCGCTTTTCGTGATTCGTAAAAAAGGGTGTGCTGCTTTTAGGAGTATTAATTGATACGTGAAAATTGATTCTTCGATTAAAGGATTTTAGATCAAAGGATGAGACACGAATTGTCCGCGTCGACTATAAATAATCGTGAATAGAACATAAAATCTAAATCTAAAGAAATGATCCTTGAGTTCGTCGAACTTTTTTTACCTCTTCGTACCTGAATTATTTAAAGAAGAAGTGGTTCGCGTAGTATAGCATTTTTTTTATTTAATTAATATATAAAATTATAAAGGTAACGATCAATTTTTGTTGATCGATTAACAGATTTCTTATCGTATAAATACGAGTTATTTTCAGAAATTTCCGTGCTATAAACTCCAAGGGATGAACGAATGTTCGATCGAACGAATGTTCGCTCGATCCCAGCTCGCGATCGATCCTCGACCGGCCGTCACGAGTCTCACGAGGCGCAGTCCTCGTCCCGGAAAAGGAGAACAGCGAGATCGTTCCCGCGGGGTTGCCGGGAAGGATCGATCGTCGAATCCCGTCCGTGCCGCTTAATCCAACTTTAATTTGGACTTTACGAGCGTCGTCAGGCAGCCGGCGCGGTGGTCCGGGCCCAGTTTCACCGTTCCGCCATCGATTTATTTCGTGGCACACATTCGTGGAAAAAAGGTCGTGTCGGGCCGCGTGTTATTCAAATGCATACACCGACTCTAACTCAGCCGGTGACTTATTGGCGAGCCCGATCGAGAGTTACGCGCCGCGCCGCTGCCCCATATCCGGGGACCACGCGCCCCACCCATGGCACTCAAAAATCCAGATGAAATCTGTGCAATTGAAATTTTCGACCGATCCTTCGTTCTCTAAAAGGTAAGGTTATTATGTACTGGGTGTCCTAAAAATGTCTCGCAATGTGGAAGTAAAGGGTTCCCGAAGTCATTTTTGACCGCGGGAACCCCCCATTTACGGATTGCGAGGCATTTCTGAGACACTCTGTATGTCTCCTTAGTGGAAGAGAATTTATTCGTGATCCGCATACCTTTTTAACGCGATAAATGCACGTTCCCAAAAATTGACACAATATCAGAGTCATTTTAATATAATAAATTCTCGAGTCAATTTGGAAACAAAAATGGACATCTTGGGAAGAGAGAGAGAGCTGTTACAATTATTGGAGACCCATCGCGGCTCGATCTTCTCATAGTTGTCGACAATTTGTTCGAAGAAAAAGGAAACTTTATATCTATCGTGTATTTATAAAACACCTACTCGAACGTTTAATCCTTTGTACTAGAAGCCATTTTGACTATAAATCTAAATTCTTTGATCGCGCTGTTCCCGGTGTGTTTTCGGGGTTTGTTAAATGGTGCTCCTCTCATTTTCTTCCATTTTGAACCGGCACCGTTGTTCACCGTTGACTCCGAATTCTATTCCGCTCGGAATTAATGGATGTCGGGTTATTTTCTTGTTTAGGTTCTTCGTACGTTAGGACTAGATTATTTAATTTGGAATATTGTAATATACAGGATGTTCCGCAATTATTTTAACAGCCGAAAATGAGGGGTAGCTGAGGTCATTTGACAGTTCAACGAATGATTCGCAAAGCTAATTTAATAAATAATAATCGTGTTAAAGGACGTAAGGGATATGTTTGTTAGAGAAATATGAAGTATATTATCAATAACCTTCAAATAACCTTCAAATAACCTTGGCATATCAAGGTCATACCAAGGTCATGTCAAGGTCATATCAAGGTTATGTCAAGCTCATATCAAGGTCATATCAAGGTTATGTCAAGGTCATATCAAGGTCCCCCCCGTCCCCCCCGTGTCCGCTACCTTGTCGTGGTGGGGGGGCTTCGTGCCCTAATGATCCTCATGGCTGTGCCGGCGGGGAATTTATTCCCTGGCAGGTTCTACCATGCCGGAGTGGCTTGAGGTGAGGGGCCAACTAAAGTCGGACACATACCGTAAACCTGTGGTCATGTTTTACAGGAACGGGGGTCTTGCCTTAACCGGCCGGGCCGCGAGGATGACAACCTCTCTAAAAAATCCCTAGCCCCAAGCAGTGTTGCGCGGTGATGAGGGTGTAGCTGGAGCAAGCGCCAGCTATGGTTGGTGGGTGCACCAATCTTTAGCGGACAACCCCGGGGTACCTGGCGACCCCCGGGTGTATTAGCCTTCCCCGGGTATGGCGGCTCTGCCCGGGGTGACCTTCTTTCCGACCACACTCGTGGGACCAATTATGGATTCTTTTTCACAAAAAACCGGGGAGGGGGGAAACGAGCGTGAGGTGGAGGTGCGCGGGCCTATCGTGCGCCTCAAAAGATGTACAGAGCCGGTGTCGCGGAGGCATTCGGCAACACGCGGCAAGAAGAGGACCGCAGCGGGCCTTGGTGAGTGCGATGAGGGGGAGGAGTCAGATTTCTCTGTCTCCTCCCACCACTCATCGCAGAGTGTCCCGGGCTCGTCGTCAGCGAGGAAGAGAGGACGGCCGCCGACGACCGGCGAATATGTTGGCCTCGCAGAGGCCAAACTTAGGCTGGCCGAGGCTTCGCAGCTGGAGGCCGAGGCAAGGGAGGTGGCGGCGATATTCGACCCGGGTGCCCCCGTGCCGAGACCATCGCGGTCGAGCGTCCCGCTCCCGGACGAGACGGATATCGCGGAAAATTTCCGCAACCGTCCGACGCGGGATGTCGCGGCCGCTATATTGGAGAGCCTGGATGAGGTGGCCAGGATCTCAGGCGTTTCGAAGGGGCTGAAGGGCAACTTGGCCCGCGCCCTGAGGGTGGCTGCCTTAAACGGCAGGGTAGGGGTGTCGGAGCTGGCAGTGAGGTCAGCTACCGACGCCACGCGTGTCCTGGAGGCCGAGAATGCCGTCCTCAGGGGGCAAATGACGGAGCTGCAGGCGGAGGTGGCCCGGCTCCGGCAGGTGGTGGAGGCGAGAACGGCTGCTGCCGCAATGCCTCCGCCGCCGCGCCCGGGAGAGGGCTCAGTATCGCCGCCGATCGTCGGCGCCCGGGATTGCCATCGCTCCGGGCAAGAAAAGTCCTCGCCACCACCAGCGGCTGCGCCCGCAGATTTTCTGGCGCAAATAGGCGCCCTGATAGACGCCAAATTGGCGTCATTCAGGAGGGAGCTCGCGCCGCGAACGGACTCGGCCATGCGATCGGTGGCACCTGGGCCGTCCGTCCCCTCACAGTCTTCGGACAGGGTGGGGCGGAAGGCGAAGAAGAAGAAGAAAGGTGGGAAAGCTGGGGCGGCTAAAGCGGCCCAGACGGAGCCCGCTCGACCGCGAGCAGAATTGGCCCCACCCTCCGCCGCGCCTCCACCCCAGGAGGCGTGGTCCCAGGTGGTTGGCCGGAAGGCCAAAAAGGCGGCTGCCAAGGCCACTGCGGCCGCGAATAAAAAAGGACGGGTGGTCCCGGCGGCCCCCAGGAAGACACCCCTGCCTCCTCGACCGCCACGCACAGCAGCGGTTACCATAACGGTTCCGTCTGGCGTGGACATTACTTACGCGCAGGCGATGGCCACTGCCAGGTCCAAGGTGGACCTGGCAGAAATTGGCATCGCCTCGCTGAGGCCGCGAAGGGCGGTGACTGGGGGGTTAATTTTGGAGGTCCCTGGCACCGATGGGGCCGCCAAGGCCACCGTCCTCGCCACAAAAGTGGCGGAAGCGCTGGCGGGAACCGGCGTAAAGGTCGCGCGCCCGGTCAAAAATGTCGACCTTAAGGTGCGCGGCCTGGTCGATTCGACCACGCCGGCGGAGGTCGCTGCGGCTGTTGCCCGCGTGGGCGGGTGCAGCGAAGGGGACATCAATACCGGCGAAATCCGGTCTTCCCCCTCGGGATTGGGCACCCTCTGGGTCCGATGTCCTGCCGCGGCCGCTCGCAAGGTTGCTGTCGCGGGCCGGATAACCGTCGGCTGGACACAGGCAGCCGTGGAGGCCCTGAGTGCCCGGCCTCTGCAGTGTTACCGTTGCCTTGGTGTTGGTCACACCAGTCAGCGGTGCACTTCTGCCAAGGATAGGTCCGACTGCTGTTACAGATGCGGCAGTCGGGACCATAAGGTGGCAGCCTGTACGGCCACGCCCAATTGTCTGCTTTGTACGGGCGCGGGCAAGCCGTCTGGTCACCGCCTCGGCAGCCGGGCATGTCCTACCAGTGCGAGGCGAGGCAAGGGAGGCGGCCAAAGGCCGTCTGCCAGGATAAATAATAAAGGGAGGAAAACCACGATGGCCAAGGCAGTTGTGGCGATTGTGGCGGTTGTGGCGGTTGTGGCGATATACGCACCTCCGAGGAGGTCCCTCGAGGAGTTTGAGCAGTATCTGGACGGGGTAGGGAGATGCGTCTCCCGCTGCCATCCCCGTCCGGTGCTGGTCCTGGGGGACTTCAATGCCAAGGCCACGGCTTGGGGTTCCCCCGGGACTGACTCGAGGGGCCGGGAGGTGCTGGATTGGGCGACGGGACTGTTTATTGTGAATCCGGCCACCACGAAAGTGGCGCTGATATGTTTCCTCGTCAATGTTGGCATACACAACGATGGGCTACCTACCCCCCGACGGAACACCTACGAGGGGTCCGAACGTGGGTAAATCGCCACCTTCGCTCATTGTTCATTAGGCTGAGTACGGAAGACGCAGTCTTAACTCCGTGTCCGTGTAAGGAGTGTTCAAGTTTATTTTGAGTTGGGTAGGCCGTGCTACCTACTCCAACTGTGTGTAAAGGTTATTAGGAGGGTTTTGCTTCGCCGCTCGACCGCGGCGGCGGGTGCCCGCCACTGCCCTCCGCAGCGACGGCACTCTGCCACATGTAATCACCCCCTTTTCCACACGACAGCAATGATTATGCAGCGTGCTAGGTTGGCGAGTGACAGCTATTCTTTGCTCGTTGGTAGTGTTCTAGGCGGCTGCCCATGGTTGGTGCCCGTCTAGGGTGGATAAGCAAGTTGCGGTTGGTGTGGCAGAGCTNCCTCTCCGCCGCCCCACCATCGACACCCCGTCGTCGCCCCGCCGATGAGGGTTCGCCTCAGCCGCGGTGGGCGCTGAAGCGCCTCGACCAGGACGCTCTGATGGCGGCAGCACACGTCGTGGCCTGGCCAGCAACAACGGCCGGGCCAGTCGACGGGAATGGGGAGGCCCATTGGTTCCGGGGCGCAATGACGTCGATTTGCGACGTCGCCATGCCCCGGGCCAGGGTCTTCCCGAGGAAGGCGGTGTACTGGTGGTCGCGCGAAATAGCGGAATTACGCA